TCCTCTCAGTCCTTGTGCTTTTTTGCATTGATCTCTAGCCATGGCGACCGAGGGTCTACCAATGGGAGTTTTCATGGCAATTCTAGTCACCGTGGCACCCCATACTGGTTCACGTGGTTCTTGTGATGGTCGTTCTACTCATGGTTCTCATGGTGGTGGTGGGCGTGGTACTAGTTCCACATCCCGTTTTGATCAGAAGTGTGCTCATTATGGTTCCTTGGGTCATTATGAACCCTAGTGTTGGCAGAAATATGGTAAACATGATCATGTGAATCTAATTATGGATGCTCCAACCTCTCAATCAACATGCTTTCCCTTTGGCACTATTTCTTAACCAACTGATTCTCCTGATGCACTCACCACTCAAATTAGTGAGCTTACTAAGCTAGTCCATTTTCTTTGTACTGCTCTCCCTTCATCCTCTACCGCTACATTGGCTAGTTTAGGTAATATTGCCTATATGGCTCAATCCCCCCCCCCAACCTAGGCTCCTAGACTCTGGCGCTAGTGTTCCCATATCTCTGGTTTTTTTCTCTTTTTCATACTCTTCATCCTGTTACCCATAATATTATACTAGTTTATGGCACCTCTCGACCTGCCAGCAGCCAAGGTACTCTTCAGCCCACTCAGTCTCTCTCCTTACCCTCTAGTCTATATGTTCCCATTTTTCCATTTAATTTTCTTTCTGTTAGTCAATTAACTAAGGTTCCTCACTGTTCCATAACATTTGCTCCCACTTCATGTGTTTTGCAGGACCTCTAGACCAAGAGGATGATTGATTCGGAGCGTGAGAAGGATGGCTTATATTTTCTGGACGTTGATGGATCTTCTCATCCTACTTCTGCTATTTTGAGTGCTACCATGTCTCCCTTACAGTGGCATTCAGCTTGGGTCATCCATCCTTAGCCAAGCTTAAGTTAGCTATTTCTAATTTGAGTAATGAGTCTCAGCTTGAATGTGAAGCGTGTCATCTTGGAAAACATCTTTTCTAGTCATAGTATTAGTCTTGTGTCCATGTCTTTTGATGTAGTTCATACAGACATATGGGGTCCCTCTCGAACTCCCACTGTTAATGGCTTTCTTTATTTTGTTATTTTTGTGGATAATTACTCTCGGATGACTTGGTTGTTCTTAATGAAACAAAGATCTAATTTGCCTTCCATTGTCTCTAAGTTTTATAATGAAATCTTTACTCAATTTGGCAAACGTATTAAGATATTTAGGTCTGATAATGCCTTAGAATATGTGCAATCTATTGTAACTACCTTTTGTGATACTCATGGTATTATCCATCAAACTAGTTGTTCTCATACATCTCCTCAAAATGGTGTTGTAGAGCGAAAACACCACCTTTTGTTAGATGTTGCTTGCATAATGATGTTTAATATGCATGTCTCCAAACAGTTTTGGGAGTTCTCACCGCTTGTTTTCTTATCAATCGCATACCCTCTAGTGTTGTCCACCAATCTCCCTATTTTCTGTTATATCACACAACATCTCTTTTTCCCTTGCCTCCTCGCACTTTTGGTTGTGTGGCCTTTGTCCATGTTCTTGGCCCTGGTTTGGATAAGTTATCTCCTAGAGCACGCATGTGTGTGTTCTTAGGCTATTCTCGCACTCAGAAAGGGTATCGTTGTTATTATCTTGAGTCACGTCGCTACTTTGTCAATGCTGATGTTACCTTTTTTGAGTCTACTCCGTTTTTTTCTTCCTCTGGACAACAGTTATCCACTGATCTTCTCTCTTATCGTGCGGGGGAGCCAGCCTCTCACACTCTTACTCTTCCCACTTATGCTCCTTCCATATCCACTCCTATATCCTCTACCTCTCCTCTCGCTTCTATCCCTCCTTTGTATGTTTATCACCGGTCTCAAGCTCGTCGCATTGTGTTTTATGGCCCGACCGGTTCATCTCCTTCGTCTGAGGTCCCTGTTCCACCTACTGATATGCCATTGGATGACCTTCCTATTGCACTCCGCAAAGGTAAACAAACTTGCACTCAACATCCTATTGCTAATTTCGTTTCTTATGATCGCCTCTCTCCTAGTCTTCACTCTTTTGCTTGTAGCTTGTCTAGTATTTCCATTCCTCGCTTCCATCAGCAGGCTATGTCCATCTCTGGTTGAAAGCATGCCATGGATGAGGAAATGCGTGCTCTTCATCAGAATCAGATGTGGGAACTTACCCCTCTGCCGTCTGGCAAATCTATTATGGGTTGTCGTTGGATTTATATTGTTAAGTATCTTCCTGATGGAACTCTTAAGTGACTTAAGGCTTGCATGGTAGCTAAAGGCTACACCCAGACCTATGGTGTTGATTATTTGGAGACCTTCTCTCCTGTGCCTCGTCCTAACTCTGTTCGGATTCTTCTCTCTGTTGCAGTTAATAAGTCTTGGCCTTTATACCAACTTGATATCAAGAATGCCTTTCTTTATGGTGATCTCCAAGAGGAGGTCTATATGTATCAGCTCCTTAGCTATGTTGTTCCCGGCCAAGAGCGTCTTGTTTGCTGATTGCAGAAGGCCTTGTATGGTCTTAAGCAGTCCTCTTGTGCCTGGTTTGATCGCTTCAGTGCTGTTGTGCTTGCCTATGGATTTCATCGTTCCACCTTTGATCACTATGTTTTTGTTCACCACTCATCTATTGGGAGTATTGTTCTTATTGTCTATGTAGATGACATCATCATTTCAGGGAGTGACTCCAATGGTATTGCTGATTTGAAGCAGTATTTGGGACAACAATTTCACACCAAAGACTTGGGCCATCTTCGGTATTTTCTTGGGATTGAAGTTGCCCGCTCTTCTCAGGGCTTGTTTCTTTCTTAACGGAAGTATATTCTTGATCTTCTTATTGAGACTAGCCTCTTAGGCACTCGCCCCAGTGATACTCTCATGGATTCTAGTGTCAAGCTTGATGGTGACACTGGAGACTTATTTCCCGATATTGGTTGTTATCGTTAGTTGGTTAGGAAGTTAATCTATCTCACTGTCACTCGTTCCGATATTACCTATGCCGTGGGTGTGGTCAGTCAGTTTATGTATGCTCCCTGCCAACCCCATTTTGCGGCTGTGTGTCGTATCTTGCAATACTTGAAGAGTGCTCCAGGTTGAGGTTTGCTTTATTGCCCATCTTCCTCTATGTCTGTCATTGGCTTTAGTGATGCTGATTGGGCTGGTAATAAGACTGACCGACGTTCTACCTCGGGCTATTGTACTTTTGTTGGTGGTAATCTTGTTACTTGGCATAGCAAGAAACAGACTGTTGTTGCTCGTTCTAGTGCCGAGGCTGAGTATTGTGCTATGGCTGATACTGCTTCTGAGATACTTTGGGTTCAGTCTCTTCTCCAAATTTTGGCTTTTCTGTTCCTACTCCTATGAGCATGTCTTGTGACAATCAGACTGCTATCTTCATTGCCAATAATCCCGCGTTTCATGAACGCACCAAACATATAGAAGTTGATTGCCATTTTATTCGTGATCTCTTACTCTGCAAGTAACTTGTGACTCCTTATGTTCGTTCTGCAGATCAATTGGGTGATATTCTAACCAAGTTGTTGGCTCGGTCCTCGTTTCATCGTTTATCCGTCAAGTTGAGCATGTTCGATCTCTATGCTCTAGCTTGAGGGGGAGTGTTAGAATACTTATTTTTGTTCTTTTGTTCTCTTGTTAATATTTACGTAAGTTGAGGGTACGATGGTCATATTGCTATGGTAGGGTTTGTATATATATTTGGCTGATGTAAAGTTGAGAAACAATGATTATTCAATATATATAAAATTACTCTTTCTTCTTCTTCTTCTTCCTCCTAAATCCCAACCCTAAATTCCTTCATTTTACAATCTAACTTGTTACACAACAATTTGAAATATAATATAATAATGTATTATTATTGTGAAACATTTCAATGAAGAAAACACAATCCATATAAAAATACGTAATTGTATCACAAATTATTGTAATTCCACTTTAGAAATTACAAATATCATAATTTTACTTAGATTGCGAAACATTTACCACAAAAAATCATAATATTTATCAAAAAAAGCAATACAAAACATGCATATAGTATTCCCTTTAGGGTATATTTATGATCACGTTTATTTAACCTTTTTACTTTACCTCATGTATGTATTTATACAATCAATATAGGAAATCCCTTCGGTACACAGGTGTGGACCATATGTCCCTTGTTATGCATTTTTCTAGTACATGCTATGTATTTTTGTGGCAAATGTTATGTATTTTGCTGGTAGAGTTGTCACATGCGTAACTTCATTTTTGAACCATAAGTTGTTGTAACACTACCCAGAAAGTACATAACATTAATCACAAAAATGTGTAACACATATAAGAAAAATGTGGAACAAGGTGCATACGATACACACCCTGAATGGGTTCCCATCAATATAGTATGTACATGTAGAGACCCACATTTAATAAGAGAAATGCTTGAAATCCACTTTTTAGACTCCAAAATTCACCCACAATGATGTGACAAGGGAGTTGGGCTCTAACAAATCAAAAAAGTTAACACTTAACATGCCATGTGGATCTAATTATGAGAGCATTTTTAGGGGTGTCAGACATTTTCAATCTAATAAAAGGATAGTAATAAATGATACTAACAGGCTGTTTGGGTTGTTGCAGTTTAGTGCCAAAAGAAAATAAATAGAGAATTTCCTGTTTGAATGAGTAAGGAGTTGACAAATATTGAGCAATGAAAGAAAAATGAAAAAAATAAATTATGAGAAGGAAAGTCTTATGTTTCACCATTTATTAGATTGAAAATGTCTGATGCCACTAAAAATGCTCTCATAATTAGATCCACATGGCATGTTAAGTGTTAACTTTTTTGATTTGTTAGAGCCCAACTCCCTTGTCACATCATTGTGGGTGAATTTTGGAGTCTAAAAAGTGGATTTCAAGCATTTCTCTTATTAAATGTGGGTCTCTACATGTACATACTATATTGATGGGAACCCATTCAGGGTGTGTATTTGGCACTAAACCGCAACAATCCAAACAGCCTGTTAGTATCAACTATGGAGAGAGATCCATGTGATGGAAAGGAAGCATCTCCTGCAGAGACTTCTTGGTCTCCTGAGATTCCAAACCACTGGATTGAGTACTTACCTCATTTACATTCATTAATCTTTGGTTAAAACTCAATCAGTATATATACACATATAAATGGGTCTTAATTCATTCAGGGCTCAAGATTCACTGAAGAGAAGTCTAGTCACAGAAGATGATTTCACATGGAAATTACCCAGAGACACAAATACAGCCACAGCCAGTGCATTAGGAGGAGGAGAAGTCTGTAGAGTGTTGAAGTATGTGGGTGGGGTGGATATTAGCTTCTCAAAAGTTGATCCATCCATTGCTTGTGGTACACTTGTTGTTTTGGATCTCCTCACTCTCGAAGTTGTCTATGACGATTTCTCTGTTGTCAGGCTCCATATCCCTTATGTTCCTGGGTTTCTTGCCTTCAGAGAGGTCAATATTACCCCTTTTTCTCTCTTATTGTATAATTCTGCACTTAAGATGTCTTGCTTTTCTTTCTCCCATCTTTCTAGATGGTTTTCTTTTTTTTTAATTTTTTTTTAATAATTGTGCACGCATATGCAGGTAGTTTTGTTTGTGCGTTACATTTATATCATAATTTGGCATAGAGTTCCACAGACCATTCCTTTGTCCTTAATTTGTGACACCAAAGCTTAGAAATTGGTGCATGTTTGCTATCATTTTTGTGACACCAAAACTTGGAAATGAACCTCCAATAGCATTATTCTTTCATAGATATTTTGTCAGAATTTATGTAAATATATATACCTTGAAATTTAAAAATAATTTTTAATATCATTATAACGTCATGGTTCGATTCTAGTTGACCCGATGGTTGAACCCTTGACCCTTTGATGTAGGATGAGTAGGGATTACTTTCCTACAAGTAGTGAGCCCGGTTTAAGTATACTGACAACAGCAACAATGGACTTATAGGACTGGATTTGGTGGAATGTTGTGGCTGCAAAAGTATTTAAAAAAATAGGAGTTTAAGGGTTTGTAAAAGGGTAGGGTTTTGGGAATAAAAATACGAGTGTTCAGAGGTTGTCGGGTGGTTGTTCTGAGCATCGTGAATAGTAATCTTGCTGGATAGAAGAACAAAAAGAGAGAGAGAGAGAGAGAGAGAGAGAGGTGCTTCACACTCACAAGGGATAGGCCAATCACACAAACACAATTTCAAATTTTCATAATATTAACTCTTCTCCTCTATTATTGAGATTACACATATATTTATAGGCTAAAGACTCTCCTAATTCTATAAGGACAACTAACTTCAAAACTAAAAAATATTTGGCAACTACTAATATTCTAGACCAACTATGACTTCTAATTCTACATCAATCATAATAGGAAACTTTAATAAATTCTAATTCTATTTTAATATCAAAATAGGAAATTTAGACTTTTGACCACTAAGATTATTTTAGACATAATAAAACCCATATATAATAACCTATTTAATAACTTGACGCAAAATAAAATCCATAGGCAATCTTACAACCCATGTCCAGCAAAGCTGAAATTCCTTAACTACTAAAACCTACTATAATGACATGAAGACTTAAAATTATTCCAAATATTTAATTCTTGATGCCCTAAATGTGCTTCATGTGAAATCCCAGATTTGCTTTTTTTCTTCTTTCCATGATCTTCATCACCCTCGACCCGGTCCCTTTTCTAGTTTCACCAGCGGTTGGGGTTACAAAACATTGCAAAATACTGTAACTGGATTCATTGTTTTATACGTAGGCTAAAGAATATAACCTCTTAGTTTACTTATCCCAAAAAAGAAAAAAGAAAAGGAATATAACCTCTGACCACCACAATTATGTGAAGTTTATATATATATGAATATTTTTGGTCATTCGTTTAATTGAACAATTACAGAAGTCACAAGATTTTTTTGGTTGATGTATTCAATTGGTTTTTTTTTTTAAAATCTTAGGCTCCAATCCTTTTAGAGCTTTTGGAGAAAATGAAGAATTGTGCTCATCCTTTCTATCCCCAGGTGTTTCTTGTCTTTTGTTATATTTAATTTATCTATTTTCAATGTGCATTTTTTGAAACTTCAAATTGTAAGTTGTCTCTGCTAAAAATTACTGAATAACCGTTCATCAACCCGGCTAGTTTAAAAGCTATTGTAGTAAATACATTACTTACTATGGTGCTATACTTAGATCTGATTTCCCCACAATTTAAATTCATACCAGCCTGAGCCCTAATTCTGTTATTTTATGAATGTTTACAGTTGTTGATGGTTGATGGCAATGGATTACTTCATCCTCGAGGCAAGTGGTCCCCTCACAGGCATAGCATAGATATTTCCTGGAACTTTTTTTTGAAATATTTGCCTATTGCATATCATTATTGCACAAGGTTTTCCATTACTATTCATTTTTCTTCTAAAGCGCCAGCTAAATCTTTTAAGACCAATAGGAGCAAATTTTCATTTTTATAGATTTATTAGAGAAGGAAAAGTGAATAGGTACTTACCCAAAACAGAAAAGAATAGGAGATTCCATAATATAACTTGATTGTACAAAACATTCTAAGTTCTTAACAGTATATTCATTCAATTTGGATTGGCTCCTTTCATGGGTCCCATGTCTTCGCTCAATCTTTCTATATGAAGGGGGTCAAACTAAATTGTTTATTATTTTACCTACTGCTTAGCCAGGGGACTGCTAATATCTGCTAGATCCATTTAAATTTTAAACGCAGCAGTTCAGTCACAATTATACTTGACAATAGATTGCATTCACAATTTAATATAAGTTGTGAGTTTGACTGCTTTAATGGTTGTATCTAACATTCAGTTTACTCCACTTCTGCAAATTCTAAACCATAAAGTTTCTTGTTTAGGCTTTGGTTTGGCTTGTCATCTAGGTGTTCTGGCTAATCTTCCTACTATTGGGATAGGAAAGAATGTGAGTTTTGACTTTTTCACCCAGCTCCTTTCTATCTATATTATTGGTCATGAGTGGACCTCCATTTAACTCCACAGGATTATTGACCTTTTATATCTTCAATTATTTTGTATATGACCCATGTATGCTTCTTGCGAAACAAGTTTACGAACTTGGCTCAAAAAATCCCTTATTTGTAGGGATGTAAGCGGTTTTGTACGGTCGGTATTTAGATAAAATTTATCACCGAACCAATAATATTGGTTTTATCATTTTGAACAGTAATACAGACTGTTTCTCCCATCAAACCGCACATAACTGAATCAATTAAAATGGTTCGGTTCGATGCGGTTTAATCAGTCTAAGACCTTTCAAAGTTGAGCCACTTTTTAGTATAGTCACTAATCTATCCACCACTTCAAACATATCCAATCCATCCATTTAATAAATACTTTTCAATTCCTAATTAATAAAAATACAAACAAAAAAAAAAGTTAAAAAATACTGAGGCTTTTAAAAATAATGTGAATTAGAGTTAAGATTATATATAATAAGAATTTACAAACTTAGGTTATAGAGGTAATAAAGTTAATTAATTAAGGTTAATAATTTATTATACTTATTAATATCATTATATTATTATATTATATCTATATATATTATAAATACAATAGATGTTGAAGCGGTCGGTTTCGGTTTAGTTTAGTACACAATATGCTTGAACCGATACCGAATTGAAAATTGAAAAAAAATCAAATTAAAAAACCGACTGATTCCTGTTAAAAAAATGACCAATTATAGTTGGTTCGGTTCGGTTCGGTTCAGTTCAATCGGTTTGGTCGGGTTTTTTGGTTTTTCTTACATCCGTACTTATTTGTTTATCAATACAATTATGATTTTTAACAATGATTAATGTCAGTTGCATCATGTGGATGGTCTTTCCCAATCTAGAGTGAGACAACTCCTTGAAGCGAAAGGAAACTTACCTGAAGATATCATCACTTTAAGTGGTGACTCTGGGAGTATATGGGGAGCGGTAAGGGATCTACTACGAGCTGTTGCTTCCTTTCAGGAATTAGTAAAATCTATAGGTATATATTGCTATTATTGAGATATAGTACTTTTGTATGACAAACCATATTTTGGTAACTTGTGCCGACACAAAATAAAGCACTCCTGGTAAAACTTGCAGGCATCTTCATTCTTGCTCTCTCTTTTCTGTTTGCGTTATTTACACCAAGACCCCCTCAGCTATTAGCAAATATCACTTTGGAAGCAACACGAAGCAATTTTTAATGAAATTATTTATTCAGGCAATGCGATCGACTCAGGGGTCATTTAAGCCCATATTCATTTCAGTTGGTCACCGTGTATCTCTTGCAACTGCTGTCGAAATTGCTAAAATGACTTGCAAATACCGTGTGCCAGAGCCTATCAGACAGGTAAGCTTGTCTAACTTGTAAGCTTGAAAATACCTTCTTTTTTTTTTTATAAATGGTAAGCTTGAAAATACTTAATGGTAATGTTGTTTATTGACCCTTGTACAATCTGTTCATGTTGGACCGTTTATTAAAACCAAAAGTAGAAGCTGGGTACAAACTAGAAGTGTCAACATGGTTGATGTCTGATTTACTTTACATTGAATGCTTTTGTCTCTCATATCACTTACAAAATTGATATGCTAAGGATGGCCATGGAAGTTATTGGTCTGATCTGAAAGTCGATACAAATCTATCATAATTTTCCTTTAATTTTAATTTTTATTTTACAAGCAATCTGGCCATGGAAGTTATTGGTCTAATCTGAAAGTCGATACAAATCTATTATAATTTTCCTTTAATTTTAATTTTTATTTTACAAGCAATCTTTAAATTTTTTTGATAATTTATCATTCTTTTTCTATTAATGACTTGCCTGCAGAATTGTCGTTGTTTCCAAAATTCAATTTATGATGTAATCATATGAAAGATGAGTTTTGAAAAATCTAAAATTCTCGAGATATTGATTCGTGATTATGTTTCAATTTAAAACAATAAACAACAATCTCAATCAAACAATTAAGACAAATCGACACAACAATTTAATGTGGAAAAACCACAATTGAAGCACATCCAACTGTGATAAAAAAACTACGGCCAAAGTCACAAAACAACTCACTAAGAAGACAAAAAAGAATTACACAAGGGTACCCTTAATTACCTAGCGAATCCGTGTTCGAATTGAACCGACCCCGATGTGCCTCTTCCACGATCGTCTTTACCATGGGATTGTCTTGCCCAACGTTGAATCCACAACGCCGATGTCGAATCTACGATGATGAGCCATGCCGATGTCCAAAGTCTTTGATCCTTTGTTCCAAAGACCAATGGTAGCCATAGCACACTTGAGCTCTTCATCTTTCTTGATGACTAGTTTTTCCAAAGCAACTTGAAACATCTCGAGAGTTTTTCTTCATATGTTGCATAGATTTGTTATAACTCATTCCTCTCTGTCTCACAAGTCAAGAGTTTTGCACAAAGAGCTTGTCGATCATTAGAGATCTTGATGGCATCATTCCTAACCACTTCCTTTAGTTTGACTTTCTTACTTTCACAGGCTTTTAGTTTGATAGTGAGTTTGTCATTCAATTTGGATAAGTTGAGAGATTCTTTGTACAACTTTTCATAAGCTTGTTGAAGCTCTTCACCATCTATGTCATCATCACTCCCCGAAGGATTCATCATCAATGATTCTCAACCGGCCTCTTGGGATACTCCGTTCATCCTTCAGCTCCGGAAACCGCCATGAAAGCAAGAAATTGTTCATGCCCCTCTTCGCCTTGAGCTTCATTGTCACTTTTATCCTTATTAGACTCTGATTCATCAGCCCAAGTAATAGCAAAAGCTTTCTTCTTCCTCAAATGATTAGGGCATTCTTAAGCAAAGTGGCCAAACCCTTGGAATTCATAGCATTGGACTCTTTGAGAGTTCTCTTGTATTTTTCCTTTCTTCTTCTTTGTTGTAGGATCAATTTTGAGTTTATCTTTGTCTTTGGATTTATGAGTTGATTCCAAAAGATTAGGCTTTTTTTTTTCAGCAAAGAATTTTTAAATTGTTTTAAAAGCATCCGTAATCTTGGAATCAAACTCACAATCCTCATCGAAATTCTTTCAAACTCTATGATCATTACTCAAAGCAATATTATCTTTTTGTTTCTTTTTGAAATTCATGTGTGCCTCATAGGTTTGGAGATTACCAACCAAATGATCTAACGTGAGGTTGTCAACATCTTGAGCCTCTTCAATGGCCGTAACTTTTGGTTGAAACCAATCGGACAAGGACCTCAAAATTTTTCCCACAATCATGGATTTCGGTATTTTTTTACCTAAATTGAAGCTGGAATTTACAATGTCACTCAACTTCGCATAAAATTCGTGAAATGTCTCACTATTTTTCATTGAAAGGTTTTCGAAACTAGAAGTGAGTCTTTGAAGTTTTGAACATTTAACCGAAGAAGTGCCCTCATGAATAGTTTGTAAGATATCTCAAGCTTCTTTTGCAACTTCACAATTACAAATACGACTAAACTTTTCTGGTGTAACGGCGCAAAAGAGAGAATTGATAGTTTTACTATTCCAACTTCTATTTTGGTAATCAGTTGTGTCCCATTTATCAATTGGTTTGGGAAATATTACTCCATCAATGGTAATCGTTGGTCCGGTCCACCCATACATGACAGATAGCCAAACTTTTTCATCAATAGATTTTAAAAACGCTTTCATCCAAGCTTTCCCAAAAGAGTAATTGGATTTGTCAAATAGGAGTGGTTGAACCATAGAATTCCTTTCACGAGTTGAATCCATTATCACAAATCAAATAAGATCTCGCTCCTATTGTTTTGAAAAAATATAAATTGAGTGACCTACTCTGAAACCAATTGAAAAATCACAAATCAACATCTCAGGAATTTTAGATTTTTCAAGTGTTTTATGTAACTTCAGAAATGTTTAGAATCCAAAAAATGATGGAGCCATTCATGTTTGATAGTATATTTTGTGCTTAGATGAAGCTTTGGGTCTGTTGCGTTTCACAGCGCGCGCGCGCACACACACACATATATATTGTTGTTTAGGGAAAGTTGCAATGGTTTCTGTGTTAGAACATTCCTCAACAAAAAAACTGGCTTGTTATGTGGCATTCGTCCATTAGACAAATGTCTGAAAATATTGCCTCAGATTTTAGTGAAACAGATTTCATTCTGTTATCAGGTCGATGATACCAGATATGGAATATAACAATTGAAAGTTGCTGAAAACAATGTTCTGCCTCCATGTTTAATGAGAATGTACACTGGACTTTTCTCTTTTCATTTTTTTTTTTTCACCGTTGGCTTTCATTTACTTAATTGCATGAAAATGGTTGTCTCTTGCTATGATTTTGGAATATGTCTTCAGTTCTAATTCCACGATGCCATTTTCACTGTAGGCTGATGTAAGATCCAGAGACTACCTCCGGAAGCATCAATTGGTCCAGTAATTCAAATGTGTAAGCAAAGCACATTTTGCACTTCAATGGGTCCAGTAATTCAAATGTGTAAGATTTTGCACTACCTGGAAGTTGTTTTGTTTTTAGTTTTTGGTTTTATTTATTTATTTATTATTTAGTCACTAGATAGAAGTGTGACCAAGAATCTTAAAACATCACTTGCTGGTTACACAACATGTAGAATAAAATGAATACCCATTTCCATTTTCTGGAAGTAGAAATGCAAAGGTAATGATGGAACTAGATAGCCTCTACTTTTTTAGAATTTTAAATTAAAATAAGCATGAGTATAAATTTTAATGACTTTTGTGTGCAAACTAGGTTTGTCAAAGAGACAAGTTGTCTTGGCTCTAAGGGCATGTTTGATTGGAAGGATTAAAGCATGGGATTAGGATTATTAATTCGTGGGCCCAATCATCCTATGTTTGTTTTGACATTTTGATTTAGAACTATTAATCCAATGGATAATTAATCCAACAAATTTGTAGGATTATTAGTAATGGGGTAGGGGTGGGATAGTTAATACCACACTAATCTAATAGGATTATTAATACCTCACTATTAGTATTGTGAATCAAACATGACCTAAGGATATGTTGTTTGGGTGGATTAGAGCATGAGATTGGGATTATTAATCCGTGGGCCCAATTATTTCATATTTGTTTTAATATTTTGGTTTACGATTATTAATTCAATGGATAATTAATTCAACAAATTTGTAGGATTATTAGTAATGGGGTAGGGGTGGGATTATTAATTCAATGAATATTAATCCAATTGAATAGTGAATACTACACTAATTTAATAGGATTATTAATACTTCACTATTAATCTTTTGAACCAAACATGACCTAAATGTATAAATATACTAGAAGCACTAATACAGGATACAAATATACTAGCAATGTTATTTCTTTATTTATTTTATTATTAAAAAAAAAAAAAAAAAAAAAAGGACACTTGTCACACAGCATGAGAACAAATTAATATATATTCTTTTTTTTTTTTTGGGTGAATAATTAATAATTAATATATATTCTACTACAATTAAAATATAGAAGAGGCCAGAGGGGGCTTATTTCCCTGAACAGGGTAAATGAGACAATTAATTCCCCAAATTGGGTGATTTTTTAGTTTATTCATTTATTAGGGTAAAATGTGAATGGTGACAGTTTTTTAAAAAATGTGATTTGCAATCACATTTTTCAACTTTTTTCTTGTACAGAAATAATATTATTTCTATACTAGAAAAACTTTGTTAATTGTTAGTACTAAAGATTTTTTCAAAAAAAAAAAAAAAGAAAAGAAAAACCTTTATTAGTAATCACATTAATTTAATTATTTATGGTTGCTGCTAATTTATTTTTCTAAATAAAACCGTGTTTAGAAATAGAGTTTCAGTCATTTATTATACAAAAAAGCTCCCTTTCTATCAAAGTTTTTTAAAACCTTTCTTACTAATATAGTATATTAAAAACTTTTAGAGAGTATTAAAAACTTTCTTACTATCAGAGTTTTACAAATCATATTTTTTTCCTTCTCACCCTTCTTCAAAAAACTAGCTATTTTACTAACAGAGTTCTTCAAAAGTCAATTTTTTTTTCCTACTAACACCTAAAAAAAAAATTCAAAACTTGCTTGCTATGAGAATTTCTCAATACATATTAAAAATTATTATTAACAGAGTTTCAAAAAACATTAAAACCCAAAGCGCGCATTGAAAAATAAGCAAAAAAAAAGTGTCAAATTTTTTTAGCTATTATATTAATTAACAAAAAAATTATTTAAATTTGAAAGGTCTCAATAAAATTTGATCAAAACTAATAGATAGTTAATGCGATGAACTATTTCTTTAAACTAATGAGTAATTGTTTTTCAAAAAAAATTAAAAAGCCTATTGATAATGTGAGTTATTTGAAATTAATGAAGGGTTGGTTGTTTCTCTAATGAATTGTGTATATAATACAATTAACTGATATTTTTTTAAAAAAATTTGCCTAATTAAATACACATTAATGTGTTCGGGAGTGAGAAAATTGGGTACACGCCTAATTTTTAGCATAATACACACAATAGTTGTTCCGAGATTTGGATCCATAACCTCAAAGTTATTAGGCTAAGGTTTTGCCATTAAAGCAATGGTCGCCCCTAATTAACTAATATTTTTATGAACATAAAATATAAATTACAATAAAAAAAAATTGTTAGTAATAAAGTTCTATCAGATTTTTTTTCCCTTTAGATATATGCTTGTAAATATGCATTACAATGTTCATATTGTTTTATAGAATTATGTTTCGAGTTCTGTTTTCACTCACAAGTTTGTGTACTAAAAAAAAAAAAGGTGATCAACCCAATTTTTTGCTCAAACCGGAACTAGAATAGACGTTTTGTTGATAACTTACTCTACGGTATCCCGTTTCAAGTTCCATTTTTCTTGAGCTTGTACTAGAATTTAAATTTCGCAAATTACACTATATTTAACCTAGTTGTCATGGAAATTTCAAGTTCCATTTTTCTTGAGCTTGTACTAGAATTTAAATTTCGCAAATTACACTATATTTAACCTAGTTGTCATGGAAACCTTAATTTGTTCATAACTTGCTTTACATAATCATGTTTCGAATTTTATTTTCACGGCAAGTTTGTGTGCTAAAAAAGAAGGTGAGCAGCCCGATTTCGCTTGAATCAAAATATGAATTGATCAACTCGCCTCCCAAAATCGTAAACTTCAAAGTTTTTAACCTTACCGTCATAGAAATCCTAAATTTGTTGATAACTAGATTCTTAATTATATCAACATAACTAAAGGCATAAGCACATAACATAAAACAAATAATCTTAGAGTTCTTGTCAGGCCTCACTTTTTAATTTATGGTTAATATTACCAAATTTATTGTGATAGTCCATTTTCGTTGATATGATATAGAGACAAGTCCACAAACATCCATAAATACATTAAAAAAAAAAAAACCTCTCAATCGTATATACATATTGAAATGCAACATAAATTACAATTAAATAGATTGCTCGTAAGCTAACACTATTACATAAAAAAGAAAGGGTTTAATTCTTTTACAATAACGGTGTTCCGCCAATAAATAAAGAGCCCATGGCCACCAGCTAAAGAAGATCATTGATCTTGAGCCACTTCTTAACATACACCTGAAAAAGAATTAGCAACGTGGGATGAATATAAACTCCGGGAATTCCAATATAATCCTAAATAATAACAATATATAGATAACTATGATCATGAATGCTTTATATCATACTATATAGGGTAAATTACACTTTGCACCCCTCCACTGTATACAAAATCTCACTTTAGTCCCTGCACATCAAATTGTGACACTTAACCCCCTGCACTTTTGATCAAGTGTCACATTGGCCCTTCTGTTAATAGCGAGGCTAACAGAAGTTATCCTTTAGGGAGCTAAGTGTCACAATTTTGATGTGTAGGGACTAAAGTGGGATTTTGTGTAAAGTGTAAGGGTGCAAAGTGTAATTTATCCTCACATGTTTTTCATGTGACTAACCTTTGTTAACAATGAGGCTAACAGAAGAGTCAAAGTGACACTCAACCAAAAGTGCAGGGAGTTAAGTGTCATAATTTGATGTGTAGGGGCCAAAGTGAGATTTGATGTAAAGTGCAAGGGTGCAAAGTGTCACTACAGGAAAACATAGCAAAAAACACGGAGTTTTTAGCGACGCCGCGCCCCCCGTCGCAAAAAACAGTTTTTTGCGACGGTAACTTCACCTGTCGCAAATAATACCCTTTAGCGACGGCACTTACCCGTCGGTAATGAAACTAAGCGGAGGGGTCGGAAATGCGGAAGTATTAGCGACGGTAAATAAAACCGTCGCAAAACACCTTTTTTTTGAGACGGCATATATCATTTGCGACGGAAATTTGCCGTCGCAAAAAAGGATTAATTCAAACGGCGCCATTTTACGACCTACTGCCTTCTATTTGCGACGGTCTACATCATACCGTCGCAAAAAGTCAAAAAAAAAAA